TAATATAACAAATTGGGTTCTATCTTGTAAGTAAGAAAGAATAAGCATACATGCTGATTTGGAAAAACCAAAATTATATTTAAGCTTCCATATAAGAAGGCTATGATCAAGAGAATTGAATGCTTTAGACAAATCTAATGCAACTAGAACACATAACTTGTCATTGTTAATGTGTCCACGAATAGAATCAGTCAATTTAAGAAGCAAATGTGTGGTATTGTGTCTTTTACGGAAAGCATACTGAGATTCAGTAATTCTTTGAGAACAATACTCAAGCATTTGTTTCTTAATAATGGACTCCACAACCTTTGATAGAGCTGGTAAAATTGATATAGGCCTTAGATCACATGGTTCTCTGACCGAATGGAAAATTCGATTTTCCAATGGATGTAGTATTGTTTTAATGTTTTCCCAAAAAAGTACGAAATGAGAAAAACAAAAAACAAACAAAAAATAATAAAAATAAAAGTTCTAAGAATTCGTTTTTTTAAGAAAATAGAAAAATAGCTCCTATTTAAGCGAATGCTTTTCGGAATAGGAATGAACTCTTGTAGTTTTAGGAGAAGAAGGATCTTTGCAACCCCACCTCAAGATATTCGAGACCACATATAATGTATATATTAATGATAAGAGTAGAATTCTATACTTATATCTGCCGTCTGTTAGATTAGCGACAGATAGATAAATTAACAAAAATAGAGCTTTGCATTCATATCAAAACTTGAATATTCGATATTAAAAATAATCCACGTTTAGGTATAGCCCTCTGTATTACGTCACACCCAATTTTCGTAATTTTTTAGGTTTCTTCTTTTCCCCAATTACTAACAAAATCCTTTGTAATTCAATATTTCGGTCTTTTTTGAAAGTTTTTGCCCAAATATCCAACCAAATCATATGTAATCTGGCATTTCTAGTTCTGAGAAGAAAGTTTAGGTATTCAAAAAAAAAAAAATAAAATAAAATAAATAAATAAATAAATAAAATAAAAATAAAAACGATGTAGGACCACTATTTGGTGAGGGTTACCTGCTAATTTTCGCAATTTGAAGGCCTCTGCCGAAAATTCCAACTTAATCATCTTCCGTTTCACATTTCGGGGTTTCAGTGGGTAAATTAACTCTTTGCAATTTTTTTTCAATGTAGGTCCACTTTTTGTTTTGGCATCATAGAAAGGTACCTCCAGATTTTCCTTATTTTGAAGAATTCAACCCCCCAAATTCCAACCAAATCCGCTATAATTTGACATTTAGAGTTCTGAGAAGGCAAAAAATATTCTAATCTAAATAAATATAGATTAACCCTTTGCAAAAAATATATAATATAGGTCCGCTTTTTTGGTATAGGCCCCATTAAGGGCACGTCTAGATTTTCGATATTTTTGACATTTCTGCCTCAACATTTCCCCCAAATCAGCTTTAATTTGGCATCTATTTCGGATTTTAAGTGGGTTGATTAACTCCTTGCAAATATATACAATATAGATCCGCTTTTTTTGTATAGGCCCCATTAAGGGCACGTCCAGATTTTCGGTACTTTGGGGGTTTCTGTCCCTAAATTCCAACGAAATCAGCTGTAATTTGACATTTGGAGTTTGGAGAAGGCATTTTAACTTCTCGCAAAAAATATTAAAGCTGGGTCCATTTTTGGTATATCACCCATAGAACGGTACCTTCTGATTTTCGGCATTTTGAAATGTTCGGTCCAAATTTCCCAACCAAATTTTGGGGTTTAAGTGCGTAGATTAACTCCTTGCAAAAAATATCTAATGTAGTCCACTTTTTAATATAGACAGCATATAAGGTATTTTGGAGATTTCTGCACCCAAATGCTAACCCCATCAGCTGTAATTTGATATTTGGAATTTTGAGAAGGCATTATTTTAACTCCTCGCAAAAAATTTAAATCTGGGCCCATAGAACGTTTCCTTCTGATTTTCGGTATTTTAAAGGGTTCGTCCCAATTTCTAATCAAATCATTTGAAATTCGATATTTTGGGTTCTTTATGGGTAGAATACCCGTTTTCATAAAATATAAACATTTTTGTGGATTTTTGCGGAAACCGATTTTGACCATAACCAACTTCACCTTTTGGAGGATATTTAAAATTCGGCTCGGCATCGTTTTTTAACTTTTTTAATACTGGAAATGATTGATTTTTTATGAAAAACAATTCCTCGGTTAAAAAAAGCAATTTCTGATCCAACCAATTTGGAGGCATGTCTCCCCCTCCACCATTGAGACAAACAGAAATGTCTACTTCCCCATATTAAAATAAACGGGATTAAGATAAAGGCAAGCCAAAAAATATTTGATTAAAATCAATTTATATAGGTAGATGGGAGGCAGGCGGCACACGGCGCATTAAGAAATAACATAATTTTCAAATTTTATTTGAAATCTGTCAGTTTAGAGAGCACACACACACACGCACGTGTAGTATGTTTTTTTTTTCTTTTTGAAAAAAGAATTCACGGGTTTCCTCTATCTTCAGAGATTAAACCTAATTTATCATGTTCTTTAGAATTAATTTAATTTATTTTCACAGGCAGGCAGGCGATTTTTTTCCTTCTCTGACTCTTCGCAACCCTTCCTCTCTCTTTGGAACGCAATGATTTTGCTAAAATGATATTAACATGTTTTGTATGTTTTTTTGTTGTTATTAAATTGAAAGTAACAAACACAAGAAAATGCGTGGGGGGCGTAGTAGTAGTAGAACAGGGGGAGGTTTTTTGCAAAGTAAAAATGTGTTTTTTTTTTTGCTTAAATATGTATGATTTTTTAATGGTCGGTCGGTCGGTTGAGTCTGTTGTGGGTCTTAAGTTTTGCCGGCATTTGATGGCAGGGAATATGTATTAGTGGTAAGATGGAGGGAGGGAGGGCTTTTAGGGGCTGTATGCCTGGCAACGTGCAGAAACAGTAATGATGGAAATTAATCGTCTATTAAGATTGCTGTTAAGATACGCTTTTGTGCCAACATTTTCCCATAGAGATCTACAGACAGCCAGCACATTTTGCTTAGGGGTGGTGGGTATTGTTTTTGTATAATGTCTGTCTTTATGTCTGCTTGCTTAGATGGCTGGCTAGCTAGCTGACTTGCGTTTTTTGTTGTTGTTTTCCTCGGGATAGACATTGTGTAGGATGTGAATTCTTGTTCTTTTGGTTTTTTTGGTACTTCGTGGGTCTTATTCTTTTCATTTTTACTAGTAATAGCATTATTACCCTTTGTTACAAGATATATGATGAGACAGCAAGGGTTTGGTTTTTTTGCCAAGGCTGGGAAATTGACAAAAAATACAACTTTTGTGATCATTTGTGCTAAAACAAGTAAAAAAATGAATATCCTTTACCATTTGGAACGAATTTGGCAATTTCCAAAAATTAAAATCGTAAAAAATCCGCCGATATATTAGGGTCTATACGACGACGTGGACGTGGGTCTATACGGGCAACTTTTGTCATAAACCATCAAAAATACTCAAATGCGGAACTTGAAAAAAAATTCAGGGAATAATGTAGCTATAATCATCAAAATACAGAATATAGGGAGGTACCGTTATATGGGGCCATACGAAGACGTGGACAGGCACAGACAATTTTCTGTTTAAGGCTGTAGTATCCATTACGAACTTCAAACACTAAATTTTATAGAATTCCGGTGAATATGGTCGCTAAAATCATCAAAATAATGAAGATCGGGGGGTACCGTTATATGGAGGCTATACGAAAACGTGGACATGCTTACGAAATTTTTTGTCATAGGCTTTAGTATCCATTACGAACTTCAAATGCCAAATTTGAAACAATTCCGGTGCATAATGTCGCTAAAATAATCAAAATACCGATTATCGGGAGGTGTCGTTATATGAGGGCTATACGAAGACGTGGACATGCACAGACAATTTTCTGTCTTAGGCTGTAGTATCCATTAAGAACTTCAAATACTAAATTTGAAACAATTCCGGTGCATAATGTCGCTAAATCATAAAAATACCGAATATCGGGAGGTGCCGTTATATGGGGGCCATACGAAGGTGTGGACCTGCACAGCCTATTTTCACAGCCTAAAAGTCTTGCAGACATAATATTCATTTGAGTAAAATTTTATCAAACTACTTTATTTCGTTCGGAATCTAGAGTGATTTCAAAAGATGGACGGACTTCGTTAATCGACATAGAATTTTATGTTGATCAAGAATATATTTTCTTTGTCGGGTCTAAAATGTATATTTCGAGGTGTTATAAATGAATTGACGAGCTCAATATACCCTCCATTCTATGGTGGAGGGTATAAAAAGAAATGTAACGCTTTCCTGCGAAATCCATGGAAATAAATATTTGAGTATCTAATATCCCAATGCGTTCAAAATGTACTTAAAAGAAATCTCATTTCCCAATGCCACCAACATTGGTCCCACCTTAAAGGAAATTGAAAAAGTATATTTATTTGTTTAAATCTACATTCAAAAACAAACCCACTATTTGAAAACCTCAGTATATTTTCCTTATCAAGTTTCCATCAATTTCCTCAACTGGGTATGGCAGCTTGCTCAGCCTTTTCCTTTTGAGGCTGTCATGTAAATTATATTTCAAAAATTGATGGAAGAAATCAACATCATGAAAAAAAAAAAAAAAAAAAAAAAAAACAGCAACGGAAATAATATGCAAAACAAAGGTTTGGCCAAAGAACCTTTTAGAGCAGAGCCATACAAAGACGATAAAGGAAATGATGGAAAATGGGTGCTATATTTGCCAAATTCCACTTTCTGTCAAACACACCCAAAAAACAAAAAATTGTTATTCGATGATGATTTGCAATGAATATAAATCTAGAAAACGTTTCCAATTTAAGACGCCGATGAAAAAAACAGGTTATCAAAACTTAATTGATTTGTTTGTGAAACCGGTAATAAATAGAAACGATTCTTTAAATTTGTTTATATTGTTTTCTTTTTTGGTTCTTCTAATTAACTTATTTTGTATCTCCCTTTTTTAAATAGGCAACGGCACAATTGATTTCCCTGAATTCTTGACAATGATGGCCCGTAAAATGAAGGACACCGATAGTGAAGAAGAAATCCGAGAAGCCTTCAGAGTATTCGACAAAGACGGTAACGGCTTCATTTCAGCGGCTGAATTGCGTCATGTCATGACAAATTTGGGTGAAAAGTTAACAGACGAAGAAGTCGATGAGATGATTCGAGAAGCTGATATCGATGGTGATGGTCAAGTCAATTACGAAGGTAAGTTTTAGACGAGTCAAACAAATTTGAATAATAATAATAATCTGTTTAAGTGGGGGTGTAAGTTTTGCCATATTTTGATTATTAATAGGCCATAGAAATGCCGAGGAGGCAATACGTGTTTGGAATTCTAATCACAAGTGTTGTTTAGCTCATTTTGTTAGTCATTTGTTGTGGTGATTTTGAAACACTATGTTTGTGTTGGTTTCATTATTACCGTCTTACATTGAAATAATTGCGATTAGTCATATTTGATTAGGTCATATTTTGTTGTATAATATTGTTATTTTTTTTTTAAATTTACTTGAAACTGTTTCGGTTTAGTAATGCAGGTTAAAATCTAATGACAATTTCCACAGTATCGGGTTGTTTAATGCCGAATACTTTTATAACCATTCAGCTATGTCCAATTGTTAGAAAGTCTGTTCCTTTTAGAAAGAAATTCGGTTTATTGATATCATACCTAGGATGTTTGATATTAAAAATGGAATACATCGGTTCATGTTTAGGTATAGCCGTCATATAGATTAGGTTAGGTTAAAGAACGCACGGTTGCCGTTTCGCAACCGTTCCACTCGGAGACCTGTTGGCCCATTGTGTTCATCCTAAATAAAGAAAGTGGAAGAAAGAAAGATTGGTGGAAAAGGTGAAGATAATATTGATAGGAAATAGAGTTATAAGGGTAATCAACGGCTAGAAATTTTGCCATGTCGTCTTTAGCCATCTAAGTCTTCTGGCCAATTGAAGAATTACTCTAGGGTCTGTGTTAGAGAACGAAGACAAATCATGTGACACTTATTCCAACCTGTGTCTCACGTTAATAAGTTCTGGAAAGTGGCAGAGCAAATGTTCGGTCGTTTCAATTTCTTCCTCGTCTTGACAGATTCTACATTAATCAATATTATCGCTACTCCATTTCGAGGTCATTGCACTCACTTTGCAGTGACCTGTGATAATACCCCCCACCACAAGTTTTAACTCAAGTTTCGACACGGATGGTAGCGATGTTGTTCTCTTCTCAGACAGAATGAGCCATATACTTTTGGAGATGCTACATCCCCTTTCGTCCAGCCAATTTTTGTTCAATTCTCTCAGAGTAGTGTCTATGAATTACCTTGAAGAAGTGTCACGGGGTTGGTCTGAACGAGTTCTCAACTTCAATGATAACTGATTTTGGACCATAGTCTAGCCAATTTGTCTGCAGTCTCGTTGCCTGGAATATTGTAATGACCAGGAACCTAACAGAGCTTGATGGACAACTCAGGGTTTTTCAAGGATCTCCTGCAATTCAAAACAGCCCTAGACTTAATGATGGAGTTTAAAGCTCCCAGTGTCGCTTGGCTATCGATGTCTCGTTCCTCGTGACCAATAGGTCTATGGCTTTTTGGACCGCAAAAATTTGGCTTCCACATTCCTTACTCGCCCTACGTTCGCAGAATGTCCAAAGGATTGTCTGCGCCATTGGTTCAGTTCTCTGAGTCGAGAACAAGCCGCGTCATATAAGAGTATCCCTTGATTTTCAGTATTTAAAAGGTTTACCTACCCCCCGAGTTCCCCTATAAATCTGCTGTAATTTGACATTTCGGGTTCTCAGTGGGTAGTTTAATTAAATGCGAAAATTCTATGTTGATCCACAATTTGGTATAGCCTCCATAAAACGCCATCTCCTGATTTTCTATATTTTAAAGGGTTTGGACGCCGATTTCCAACCAAATCTTAAGCAAGTCCGGCTTTTTATATAGCTTCCCATATATCAATGACTCGGTTTTACGGTGTTGAAGGTATCGTTCTCCAATTTCCATCTAAATCAGCTATTATTTTATTTTTCGGGTAGGTCTTTTCACTCCTTGGAAAAAGTATTCAATGTAGGTTCACTCATATAACGTTACCTCCCTATTTCTGGGTTTTTGAAAGTTTCAGTCGCAATTTTCAACCAAATCAGCTGTAATTTAATATTTCGGATTCTTTATATGTAAATTAACTCATGTCCACATAGCGCCATATAACTGAAATTTTAAATTTTAAGGACTTTAAGGACAACTGATTTCCCCATAGTGGAAGGTACAACAAGTTCGGACCTGCCATCGCTTGTTTTTCACATATTGTATTGTTCCCATGGCTGAGTCAGTGCAAATACTTTTACGAATATGATCTTTAGGACCCTAGGGATAGTCGGAAATTATAATCCAGCAAGATTCATATTCAGGAAGGGGCCTTCATCCCACCTCTGTTGTACATAAGGTGAAAAGTCATGTGCGATCCTCTTGTAAAGTAGACGTTGTCCCAAATTTTTTACCAAGTTTTTTTTTACCAGTCAATTTCAATTATATTACTACGATTGCCTTCTCTACACCCAAAGCCAGCTCATACGGATGTTTAGATGCGTGTGTATTCTTTTTTCTTTCGTTTACCCAAAAAACATGTGAAATTCGATTGTTGGTCGGTCGGTGTGCTTCTTGTGTTCTTTTTGTGTGGTACACTACTTTTATTTTAGCTAATTTTCCTCATTCTTGGGGTATGTTAAAAATTTGGTTGCTATTGTTTTTGTTTCTGTTGTTGTTGTTTTCTTTTACTAGCAACAACAGCAAAAACAAACAACCAAGCAAATATACAACAAACACCTTCACTCACTCACATAGCGACAGACGGACGGCAAAATAAAGAAAACACCACACATGGGCTATTTTTAATCATTGGATGCAAACACCTGCTAAAATTGGGGGCACAACACATTCTCGGCGACGGTGGCGGCGGCGTGAGTGGTGCCTGTGCTGTTGTGCCGCCGCCGCACAGTTATCAGAGAAGAACTGAAAGAGCATAAATATTCGTTTCGCATACCCGCCGCTATTTTCATGAATTGCGGGCCAGAGATGTTCTTCCTCCCCTCCCTCATCTCTGTAACGAACAGGAGACGAAAAAAAAACATAATATTAAATTATTAATCATTTGTTTTTATTTAGTTCATTATTTATGCAAATATTGCATTTAATTGCAATTATTTCATGCGATTAGGAAAAAAACCCCACAATGTTGTTTTTTGAGATGGGATCCGGTTAGAGGATATGTGGATGTTAGGTTTCTTGTTACAAAAAAAACAAAAAAAAAAAAAAAACAATGGCAGCTATATCTGCAAATATGAGCAGGGTTATCTGCCAAAAAAGGGGTTAAACCAATATTTATAACAAGCAGGGAGATTAGATTAGGTTTTGGGTTAAAAGGCGTCAGAAATTAGATTTCACCAACACCACCACCCTTCCATATTTCTATTTGGGGAAATTTTGTCGCTATGTACAGGGTTAGATAAAAAACTGCAACAAAGTCAAACGCCATAATTTTTCCATTTTTTTTTTTTTTCAAATTTTATTGAATGAAAGCAAAAAACTTCGGAAATAGCATCAAATTTTAGAATAAGTTTAGATTTGTTCGAATTGATCACCGTTTGCACGAATTATGGCCTTCAAACGGCCAATGAAACCGTCACACGCTGCCCCAATGTTGCTCTGCGGTATTTTGGCCCAATCCCGGCGAAGCGCTTGCTTGAGGTGATCGACACTTTGGTATTTTTTTAGTGCCAAGCTTGCTTTCCAAAATACTCCCGACACAATGGTCCAACGGATTTGTATCCGGAGATTTTTGATGGCCATTGTGCGCTGGAAATGAAGCGAGGAACCTCATTGTGTAACCATTCTTGGGTGGCTCGTGCTGAGTCCTGTTGGAATGTCCAAGGTCTGCGGCCAAAATGTTTGCGTGTCCAATGCTTTAATACACCCTCCAGACTATTTTCGCTATAATATTCGCCATTTATTCTGATGCCACGGACGATTAATACGAGCGGAGAGCGACCATCGGCTGTTATGGCGGCCCACACCATGGCCTGCGCTTGAGTTCTGGTAGCCAACTGAAGATGCACATTTTCAGCTGACCTCTTTGGCAAGTAAACACGAGCGGATCATTTTGTTAGTTTACAAACTGCTGTTGGACAACGAATGTTTTCTCATCTTAGAAAAAAATTCGGCAGTTCACCACTTTCGGCCAAGCGAAGCAACTTTTTTTTAGCTCTTTTGAGTCTGTTTTCTTTCTTTTGCGGTGTAAGTTCTTGCACTTTTTGAAATTTCAATGGCTTTACCCCGAGCTCATATCATTATTCAAAATTTTCCAAATGGAATATTGCGATATGTTCAGCTCACGAGCCATTTTTCAGCCACTGCGACGCGGGTTTCGATCAAGTCGCTAATTTACTTTTCGAACCATTTCTGCTGATGTTGCTGATGCTTTTCGGGCTACGCTACCAGTATCACGGCAACGAGCGATGGTATGAGACACAAAAATTTATTCCCCATTTAAATGCTGGAGTGCTCTAACGATAGCCAATTGTGGTTTTCCAGCCAAATATAAAGAAATCACACTATCACGCTTGAATTCTATCGGGAATAACTTTTTGTGCTGGAAAATGCTCACGCTTGTTAACAATATAATGAGCTGTCACTGGAAAAATTTTAACAGCTGTCGGATGAGTGGCTTAGAAATGACAGCAGTCTGAAGTTGGTTGCAGTTTTTTCACCTCACCCTATATATTTTTTTTTATTATTTTCCATATGTACATATTTCAATTTACTTTATCTTTTTTTATGTATAAAACAAGAAAAAACAAAATTAACAAAGAAATTCTTTGGATCAAGGTTTTGAGCGGCGTTTGTTTATTTAATTTTGTGTGTGTACGTACTGTCGAAAGGTGTGAAATCACCACCACATTTAGATAAAATAGAATTAAATAAAAAAAAAAGTTGAATAAATAAAAATGCAAACAAATGGTGGTGACTATGGTAATAGTGGGTGGAACAGGAGAGTGGGAGAGGGAGGGGGTATTGACTTCTTTTTCGTTATTAAAAAGACAGTTGGTCTTGTGACGTTAGAAAATTTATATTTTTAATTAACTTTAGGAATAGATTCGTTTTTTTTATTATGATAAAATTAATATCTTTAGAACTGATGATGACGTGTGACGGAGGTAGTCAAAATATGTATAGAAAGGAAGTGATATTATTATTATTTCATAAAGTAAAGAGAGTTAATTGCAATGGTCCAAAGGTCCAAAGTTTACCCAATTCCAGTTACTATTCTATTTTCTCCATTATTTCGCTCACTTTTTAAACACTTCTCTTTTTGTTTCATTTGGCAACTCTGCTGCCCCCATATTATGCTTCTACCGGCTTTTTGAAAATATGCTGCTTCTTCTTCATCATTTTGAGCATGATGATTATTACGGATTTTCGGATATTTTTCGCCTATTTCATTTTCATGATGAATTTGCTTGTGTAGTTTTTCATTGATAAAAGAGGAGGGAGAGAGGTGGCATCTTCTTGTTGACCACTTTTGTTTACAATTTTTCTAAGGTTTCTCCTTTTGTGCGTCTTGTACTCGGTTCAGTTCAGTTTTTTTTTTTTGCTGAATTGTTATTATATTTATATTTATGTGGTGGTATTGTGTGTAAAAATAATAATAATGCCTTTTGGTTTGGTTGTGGCGGTGGCTTACCTACCTACCCACCTAATAGCAAATCTGTATAATTTGATTCCTCCTCCGTCTCATTATTGGCTTTGGGCCAGAAATATACCATCTCCCCTGACCGTTTTTGCTGCTGGGCGTCTCTTTATTTGCCGCTGCTGCTGCTGCGGGGTAATATCCGAGTTTAAATGATGATAGCGTATTTTTCTCACAACTAATCTTTTATAAACTGTTTAATTTAATAATTGACAATTGGCCAGAGCTGTGGTACGGCAGGCAGGCAAGCAGACAGACAGACTGGTGGATAGGTGGTGGTGTTCAAAACAATATGTCTGTCTATCAAATGAGATTCATTCAAGTTATTGCAAATCGGGGATTTTTCTTTGGTGCAATTTACGAAATGTTGGGAGGAGAAAAGGGGAAAATTAGAAATTATGGGGATGGTAGGGTTTGTTTAGTAGGGGTGTCATGGCAAAATATTGGAAGTTTAAATTATTTATATGTCCTGCTTTAAAAATTTAAATTTAATCAACTTCAGAACACCAGACGACTTTAAAGTGCATTGGCCTAAACAATGTAACGACCTTTTCCGATGAACAATTCTTGACTATATTCTATACTATAGAAGATTTATGTACGATTTCTATCTATTGATGATCCTTTTTATATCCTCCACCATTCTATGGAGGGTATATTGGCTTTGTAACTCTTCGAAATATTCATGATAGACCCTAAAAAGTATATAAATATTCTGGATCAGCGTAAAATTCTAAGACGATTTAGCGGTGTCCGGCCATCTGTCTGTCCGTGCCTGTGTGTCCGTCTGTCTGTTGTAATCACGCTATCCTTCAAACGAATTGAGATAGACGGCTAAAATTTTGCATAAATGCATATTTTCTCAGTAGGCAGGTAAGTTCGTAAATGGGCCATGTCGATACACGTCTTCGCATAGCCAGCCCCTATATAACAATACCTCCAAAATTTCGGTATTTTCATGATTTTTGCGACATTATTTATCGGAATTATTTCAAATTTCGTATTTGAAGTTCGTATTGGGTACTACAACCTATCACAAAAATGTGTGTATGTAGGTCCCCACATCTTCGTATAGCCCCCATATACGGTACCTCCCGATATTCGGTATTTTTTGATAAAGGGCGAACAATTTCCTTCTAATTAACTTCCTTAGTAAGCTATTGTATCAATGTTTTTTTTTGTTTTGCTTCATTCTGCAAATATTTGCAAACTTTCTCTCTCCCTCCCGGCCAATTTAAATTAGGCAGCTATTTGAAATAGTTTTTCTCTGACCTATGCTACTAAAATAATTGGGTGGTACATTTTCCGCCTTTGAGTTTTTTTTCTCTCCCATTTCTTCATTTGATTCCCTTTCATCTTATCATCTTCATTGATTTTCCCAAATATTTAGTTAGTTGTTGTTGTGATTGAATCAATGGCTATTTTTAACAACAATGAACAAAAATGTGATGATGGTGACTGCAGCAGTCGTCGATGCCGCCGACATCGCCGGCATTCTTTGATTCGTTTCTTGTAAAAATCTGTGTATTTTTATAACTACGACACAGTTTTAAAAACTATGCAGTAGAAGAGAAGGCGGCCCCCAATCTCATTATATAGTATTGATCTTATTGTCTCGTGATTTGGTGCGGCTGCTGCAGCTTCTGCTGTTCAATAGCATATTGTTTTTTTGCTTCTTCTGCGCTAGACAATCACAAGATTGCAATTTGAATTTGATTTGTTGTAGCACAGGGTGTGATAAAAAGTTGGATACAATTTTTTAAGGATTCGAAATTGATTCTTTTGAATCATCGAGCCTAGAAGACTGAAATGTATCCTTGGAAAGTATTAGTACTATGGGGCTTCATTAGTACTTCTTTCATTCACATTCTCTCAAGTTGGAATCATGGGTTTTGTCAGCTCATATACCATGGGAAATAGTTTGCAAAACCCAAATTGGGACCTTAAGAAAAAATAAAGTTAAACAAGTAAAAAAGCAGATAAGTTTGGCCAGGCCGAACTTTTAATACCTTCCACCATTTGGAACAATTTTGACAATTTAAAAAAAAAAATCGTTAAAATTCTTTTAAGATTTTAAAAATATTGAATGTGGCCGTTATATTAGGGTCTATACGATGAAGTGGACCTGCATAGGCAACTTTTGTCATAAACCATTACTATATTCAAATGCGAAACTTGAATAAAAAAACGGTGAATAATGTAGCTAGAATCATCAAAATTCCGAATATATTGGGCCAATACAAAGAAGTGGACCTGCAAAGACAATTTTCTGTTATAGGCTGTAGCATCCATTACGAACTTCAAATACCAAATTTGAAACGATTCGAGTGCATAATGTTGCTAAAATCATCAAAATACCGAATATCGGGAGGTATCGTTATGTGGGGGCTATATGAAGACGAGGACTTGCACAGACAATTTTCTGTCTTAGGCTGTAGCATCCGTTACGAACTTCAAATACCAAATTTGAAAAAATTCCGGTGAATACTGTCGCTAAAATCATCAAAATACTGAATATCGGCGGGTACCGTTATATGGAGGCTATACGAAGACGAGGACTTGCACAGACAATTTTCTGTCATAGGCTGTAGCATCCGTTACGAACTTCATATACCAAATTTAAAACATTTCCGTTGAATAATGTCGCTTAAATCACCGAAATGCCGAAAAAAAGGAGGTACCATATATGGGGGCTATACCAAAATGTGGACCTACATCCCCCATTTTCAATATCAAAAGTCCTGCAGACATAATACACATTTCTGTAAAATTTTATCCACCTGCTTCATTTTGCTCGGAAGCTAGAGTGATTTCCACAGATGGATAGACGGGCGGACATCGCTAAATCGACATAGAATTTTATGCTGATCAAGAATATATATTCTTTGTGGGGTCTAAAATCTATATTTCGAGGTGTGTGTTACAAACGGAATTACTTTTTGCCTTACCCTGTATCTGTAGATAATTTAATTTGTTCATATAAAAAATTCTGATAACTAATCATCTCTCTCCTCTCTTCTTCTTTCTTTGCAGAATTCGTGACTATGATGACATCGAAGTGAGCAGCTAAATTACTTCTTTTTAAGCTTTTCTATGTTTTTAAGATGTTGACGAAGACTGTAGCTGCTGTGCGCTCCAACACCGCGCCATCGCTATTGCTATGGGTATAAAACAACAACAACAACAAAATGATGATGAAAATATATATAATACCAACCAACAACTATAAAACAAATCTTAAAAAATAAATTAAATTAAATTTTACTATAACACCCCTCAAACAAAAACAACAACAACAACTTAAAATAATAATAATAAAACAAAATATTTAAAAAACAAAAAATAACGATGAAAATCAACTTGAAAATTTCTGAATGAAAACAAAAATTTAAGGAGAAACAACAACAACAACATTTAAATATAAATATAATTAAAATAAAGAAAGAAATGAAAGAATGAGAGAAAAACCCAGAAATATATTATAATAATAATAATAAAAACAAAAACCAAAAAAAAAATCAAACTTTAATATTATTAAACCAAAACAACAACAACAACAAGAACATACAACAGAAGAAGAATTATTCAAAAACCCAAGAAAAAAAGAAGAAATATATTACAAACCACAACAGCAACAACACAAAAACAGTTCAGATATTTAAGGCTCATTTTTTGAAAACCAAACCACAGCAACAACAAGAACAACCCATTCAGAACAACAGCAAGTTTTTTTAGATACAGGATTTGGGAAACAAACAAAAAGCAAAAATAGGAAAGATTGAATGAAACGATCTGCAAATCTGAAAAGAGAGGAGAGCGCAACTCTTCTAAGCCAGAACAACAACAACATAGCTATTGAAAATATAAACTTTTTTATTATTACAAATTATTATAAATATGATTACTATTAATTAATTATTACTACTTATAAATTAACTATTAATTTTATTGCCTTTTTCCTTCGGCGCTAATGGCTGCCGCCCATCCCTGTTTCTCCCCCCTCAAACAAACTAAACTAAAAAAAAAAAAAACAAAAAAGACCTTTTTCTATACAATATTGGTTAACAAAGAAATGAAGTTGTAGTTTTTAAACAAAAAACAAATGATGATAATTTTAAGGTAAAACAACAACAACAACAACAAAGATTCAAATATACCAGCAAAGCAGTCAGCCACTTAAAGATTTCTTCAAAATCCCCCAATGAAAAACTAAAAACCACTAAAGAAGAATTAACTAAAACTTGGTAGGAGTAGAAGAAGGAGGAGGATATTAAAAAAGACAGCCAAGAAAAAGAAGTAGGGAAAGAATGAGTGTGGGCTTTTTGGAATGGCCTGCCCATAAAATGTGTGTTCTTTTCCCCACTGTCAATACTTCAACTATGTTGAAAGCCTGTCTCATGTTTGGCCATGTTTCCGACTGTCTAGGCTGGCTGGCTGGCATAGCTGTTGTGTTGGCGGCGGCGGCTTTAATGGCATTGGCTTGGTGGGTGTTATGGCATTAAGTTTTAGTTAGTTTTCCCTTAAGAAAATTTTCACACACATTTACACACACATTTACACACACACACTCTCACACACAATTGCAGTCCTCGTTGATAGTAAGATAGTTAAAAGAGAAACAAAAAAAAATAAAAATATAAAAAACCACACACACACACTTAAACATATTTTGAATTCAGATACTTAAATTTAATTTTTAAACTATTTAACAAAAAAATGAAAAGAAAAGAAGAAACAAACCAAAAACAAATGGATCTTTAAACTTTAAAACAACAACAACAAATTACCAAACAAACAAAACGCTCTTCTTTATCACTCACACTTTCTTAAGCAAAACTCAATAAATGAACAGCAAATTAAGGCAGGCGCAGACAAAAGCAAAAAACAAACGAACATGACTATTTGTGAATATTAGAGATGGATTTGGACTAACTTATTTTCTGGAGGATCAAGAAGGCGATGCTGACAAATTAATCACATTTTGGGTTTAACTTTGGACAAGGAATTCGGGGTAATGAGAAGACTTAGTTTTTCATTACTGCGATTTCAAGTTTGTGGCTGCCATGAATTGGGAGAGGATCTAAAATTCCCTTTGAAATTTGTCCCCTGTAACATAAAATACAAGGGACGAAGGTTAAACTGTCACAGTGAAAAAGTAAACCCAAAGATTGGTGGTGCAATGAGGAGGGTGTAGCCTGGAAATACCATTCCTTCAGTCGACATATTTTCGATTACCAATTCATGATGTGTAATCTATACTTCACACCTTTTTTTGTAAAACTTTTCATAGGCAGGCTTGGTTCCCTATCTCTTAATTCTTTGCTTATCAGGCATGTCACAGAAGTTTTACGAAATCGATTTATTTCACCTTTTCCAAATCGTTACGATTTGCTTTTGCTTCTTCAGCACTCGTACGTTTTGAGTAATCCGGAAAAAAAATCATTTCACATTTTTGAAATAAAAATATGGTAACTCCATGAAAAAAAAGTCATAAACAAATTATTGACAATTAGAAAAGGAGTTTAAATTGTTTTTTATAATATAAACACCAAAAGTAAAAATGCCAGGGGCTTCAATACTTGCTGTAATGGATGAAGAAATAAATCAGCGGTCTACTGAAAAAATTCGTCGCCGGACATTGAGGAACGCATCAGATCCTTTATCTCACTCAAATGCAGAGTAAGGATCCACCAGCAATGAGTTATTTTCAAATTTATTTTAATGATAATTTATTTCTACAGATTTATAACTTATTATCGGCTAAATAAAGAAGCTTTTGTTTTAGTTTTGGAAAAAAATTCTCCCCACCTCAAACGTTCCAATATACCGGCTATTATCCAGCTTGCAACAACGCTTAGGTTTTTGGCTACGGGTGCATTTCAAGGAGTTATAGGTAGAGATGTGGAGCTAAGCCTTGGGTTGTAAGTACAGTTTCTACAATTATGTGGAGAGTTATTAATGCAATTGAAGCTGAAATTTGTCCACATTGGATCAAGTTAAGAATCTCTTCCGAAGAAAAAAGAAAGTCGAAATTGTACTTTTTTGAAAATTATGAAATTCCAGGAATTGTAGGATGCATTGACGGAACTCACGTTTTTTTGTTTTTCCCCTTTCTTGCTTTTTGGTCTGTCAGTTGTACATTTCTACACCTTCTTCTTCAACACATATGGCAATAATTCAACAATACAAGTCTGCCGTTCATATTTTTGCGTTTTCATCATGGATTAGAAAAATAATAGATTTTTTGTAAAATAAATTCCAAAAACATGTTCATTCTAAGAGAATTTGGTTAATACAATATTTTCTGTTAAATTTATGTGTCTTCGGTTAATTTTTTACGTTAAAATCACTAAACATTTCAATTTCACCCTGCTTTTTGAAAGTGATATCAAAACGCAAAATTTTTGCGTTTTCCGTTTTTTAGAGAAGCTAAAACCGTTTTCGTTTTCACTCTTGAACGATTTTACATTCTGTGACATGCCTGTATAATCATGTTTCAACAACAACAACAAGAACAACAATTACAAAATATATAACAAAACATCAACTATATATAACAACAAAAAATAATAATTGAATGAATAATGGATGTTGCTTTTTTCCCAACGCAGCCAATGACTAATGTTAATTCGATCGATACACGTTGTATTTTCCCTCGCCCCAGAGGTTGGTGATTAAGAAGGAAACAACAACATCCAACCAATTAACATTAGTCAATTAGCTCGGTTTTGAAATAAGTTTGTGCGAGTATTGAAGATTTAAATAAACAACAAAAAAAAAAAAAAAACAACTTTCCCCCTGACTTCTTCTTTCTAACAATTTTTGAGAACAAAACAAACAAACCAAAAAAAATGAAATTAAACAACAACAAATTATGCATATATCACGAAATCTCTATATATATGATGAATAAAAAGAAAAATGGGTAAGAAAAATACAACAAAAAACAATGTTTTTGTTTTTCTTTGATTTTTTACATTTAGCTAAAAAAGAATTTAATGAAGGAACTACTTTTCCAAATTAGCTCGCGCTAATTTATTTGTGGTAGATATATATGGCCGCCATATCATTTTCACTTTGGATAATACTTACTACTTCGTCGTGCTAGCTCGTAATTTCACAACTACATAAGGCAAAAAATTACAAGACCAGGAAAGTTAAGGGGCGCGGGATTGTAAGCCCAGCCCCCCATCATAATTCCATTTTACTTTCCACACTAACTAAAGCAAAAAAACCAAACACCTTCCTCACAAAATACGAAAAAACTCGATTCTTTCTTTTTTTCTATTTAATTTTCAATACTAAGCTTTACAAAGATGAAAACCATGAAAACCATTTTTTTTTAAAAAACAAATATTTAATGTTGTATTTATATTGTCATGAAAAAGAATTGAATTGGCTTTAACAAAAAAATACTAAATAAAGAATAAATAAAAACTATAAACGAAACTGATGGAAAACAATCAAAACATACTGGAGGAGATTTTTCTAAATTTGGAAGGAAAGGAGGAGTTGGGAGAGGGAGGGATGGGTTTGAAGTGAAATTGGAAAATGATTTACGGGTGTCAAAAAATTCGATAGATTGGGGTATGGATTTGGAGCTGTTGTAGGGAGTTAATTAGAGTTAGACGATTGCTTTGAAGTGAAATTGAAAGGGGAAAAGAATTTAGGGGTTTCAAAAAATTCGATAGTGAGGTATGGATTTGGAACAGTTGTGGGAGTTCGTACTCAGACGGTTGGTTGAAAGTGGAAAAGGATTTAGGGGTGTCAAAAAATTCAATAGAGGGTGAGGTATGTATTTCAAACACTTCTAGAGAGTTCGTTCTCAGACGATTTCAACTCCTCTTCTTTGAGGAGTTGGGAATGTAAAGCTGATTTTTTAAAAGATTGAAAGAATAAAGAAGGATTTTGTAAGGAGGAAGCTCTTTCAATAAAGTTCGTTGATAAACTTCTAGACGTTTTGAAAAGGGTTATGGTTTTATGGATCCCATTTGATCTTTTAAGAAACTATCATTGATAAGCATTGGTTTTATAAGAAAGTGGTTCTTGCATTTTTCTAAAATTTGCTGCAATAAAGAAAGGTTTTGGAAGAGGAAGCCACGTTCGTTGGTAAATTTATAAGACATCTGGGAGAGAAATATTTGGAAGAAATCAGGGAAGACCTAAATCCTATTTGATCTCTTTAGAAATTATCATTGAGGAAGGGGTTTGGAAAAACTGTGGAAAGTTCAAATGAAATTCTTGACGATCAAAAAGTCAACGGAAGAAAAGATGGGATTTATATGTGTTTCGTTGGCAAGGCTTGTTGAGGACGATAACCATTTTAAGATCTTGTGTTCATTGGTGTGGCGAGGGAGGTTCTTTGGTCTATTAAAAAAAGAATTAAATTTTATTCCATACATTTCCAGCGGTGTTGAAAATTGGTCTTGAAATTTTGCATTTTAAACGAAAATGACTTTCCGTAGGGGACAGGAGGGTTGCTCTTGCATGTTCAAAAGTTGGGCTGATTTCGTCTGAATTTACCAAATTAACATAAAAGGTAAATGGTTTCTTCTCAGAACAGGTAATGTATTGAACGGATATAGTTGCATTGGGGGTTCCATGCAAAGAGAGAGTCGATTCGGTCAAAAATGATCCTTGTAAAGCAATATGAATATAAGTTGTATACAGGGTGAGATAAAAAACCTGCAACAATGTCAAACGCCATAATTTGTACATTTTTTAATTTTATTAAATGAATGCAAAAAATGTCGGAAATAGCATCAAATTTTAGAATAAGTTTAGATTTGTTCGAATTGGTCACCTTTGGCACGAATTATGGCGATCAAACGGCCAATGAAACCGTCACACGCTGCCCGAATGTTGCTCTGCGGTATTTTGGTCCATTCCCGGCGAAGCACTTGCTTGAGATGATCAACATTTCGGTATTTTTTAGTGGCAACCTTGCTTTCCAAATTACTCCAGACACAGTAGTCCAACGGCTTGGTATCCCGAGATTTTGGTGGCCATTGTGCGCTAGAAATGAAGCAAGGAACCTCATTTTGTAACTATTATTGGGTGGCGCGTGCTGAGTGCGTTGGTGGTCCTGTTGGAATGTCCAAGGTCTGCGGCCAAAATGTATGCGTTACCAAAGCTTTAATAAAAATATTTTCGCGATAATATTCGGCATTTATTCTGAAGCCACGGTCGATTAATGCGAGCGGAGAGCGACCATTGGTTGTTATCATCACCATGGCTGGCGCTTGAGTTCTGGTGGTCAACCAAAGGTGCACATTTAACTTTTACAGCTGTCGGACGGGTGGCTTTCTACCAGCAGTCTGAACTCGGTTGCAGTTTTTTCATCTCACCCTGTTTATATAGAAGAATAATTATAAATTCAGTTATATTTTCTACGGGGTTCACAAAACATATACATTCGACACAATTCCAAGAAATCTCAAAAAATTAGGGGATTTAAAAGCAGAAATTTGTTGTATTTCCAGATTAGAATTTCGAAAATTTCCCAAAATTTCCCTATTTTCGAATCTCTAGTTTGTGGTTGGAGAATATATAGAAATCCAGAGTTTGTTTACTTTTTTAACTTTATCTTTCAAATCATCCACCTTGAGGACTGTGATGTTTTGGTGAAGGAAGCTTGGGGATGACTGACTGCTATTCCGAATACATAAACATCTAAGTGGTTAGTATTTTATTTTCACATATTCTTTGTCATGTTTTATTTATTTTAATCATTTATTTTCTTGTTTTTCTTTGTAGACTTAAGGAAATCTTGAATGTGGCGACTTTTTGATAATGAAAAGCAAAAAGGGATTAACATAACCTATAAAAATATGCAAAATGATAATTATATAGTAAATGAATTGATTTCTAAGTTTAGCTATTATTTTTTATTCATTTTCCAATATATTTTCATTTTAGGCTTAAGAAATGCCGATGAATAGGATGTCTTCGAGGAATTACAAAACATAACCTATACAATTTTTGTGAGGTTATTATTCGAATGAAAGTAAAGATCTAATAAAAATTTTGATTAACTCAAAGCCGACTGGATCATATGACAAATTTGCTTTGCAAAATCTCATTTTGAATTTATTTATACAAATATAAATTCAAAATAAAATATAACAAAGCAAAAGCTTCTATGACATCAGAGACTATACATTTGTTCTCCGATGAACTGAGAGTCCTGGAGATATAAGGAACCAAATTTGTCATATGATCGAATAGTTTTAGATACTAATTTTGCTAATTTTGTCTTAAGCTGTTTGTTAACTGTATCTCAATTTAAAAATAACAACAAACTTGGCCTGATGAGGGTGTGTATTGTCAACCAAAACGAAAACCAAATTGTCTTATATGAAAACAAATGATATTTACTCTTCCTATATATATTTATGAAACAAAACCAACAACAAATACACAAAAAACAAACAAAAAAAATTAAATTATTTTTTAACTTAAACCAAATGCACAAACAAATTGATGTTGTAAACTAAAATTAGAATTCACAAACAAACCAAACAACAATGTAACCTAGAAAAGTAATTAAACCTTAAAATACTGTTGTGTTTCTAATCAGTTTTCTTCCTTACAGAACAAACTATCTCTATATTCTCATATTATTTCTAACAATTTAATAAGGTAGGAGGGCCATTGTTGGTACTAAATTTTGGCACATTCTGGGGTTATTGTCATTATTAGGGTTAATTATATCCATTATGAAAGAAAACCGAGTTTTGAAGAAGAAAAAAGAGGAGTGCAGATTATAAGTCTACCTATAACTCTCTCCTTTCCCCAAAATCAGTTTCTTCCCTTAAAACTTTCTGAATTAAGAAACCTTTTAATGGAATGATGACAACATTTGAGTTACCTACGTTGGCCTACCACCTACCTACAACCATTTCGTTTAACCTAATTAAAATTCTTAATATCCCACAATGAAAAATGGCAACCAAATGAACTTAAATTTACACAAAAAAAGTAAAAAAAAATCTATAAAATATATATATTCTAACATAAATGAAAAATTAAAGCCAATGCAGATTTCACGGGTCCATCTAGAATCATCGAGGATAAACATTTGGAACACCCAATGTTGTTGATGATCCTATGGTGGACCATAACATGACACCTACACTTGGCTTCCCATCTCAACTTATAATCGTGTTAATTATATAATAGAATCGAAATAAAAATTTCATTGATTGTATGAGGCAGCCACATGTTTTCGTCTCTTCTTCCTTATCGTAATTTAAAAAAAAAAACAAGAAAAACGAAAAAATATACTTATTTTTTGATAGAGTTAAGATAACAAAAAATAACATTATTTATATAAAAAAATAAAGCTTTACGAAAATACCAAACAACCAAAACATATAAAAATTAATATAATTTATCAATTATATGAACAAAAAATAAACGACTAACATATTTATATTTTAAATGGAAAGCAAAATCAAACTGAAAATAACCCTTAAAAAAAGAAAATAAATTCCCCTCAGAAAAAGGGAAGGGCGGAAGGTCAGTGGAAATTTTATTATTTTTTTTACCTATGGATCTTTGCTGTTATCTGTGTAAAGGAAATCAAGAACCGATTTGGTTGGAAGTTTTGTTAACTCACTGGACGATAGCTGTAACCTATTGAATTAAATCTCCTTTATAAATCTTCCGCTTAATGTTGCTAATGGAAGGTCAACATAGGAGGCATGAGTCAAACTGTCACCCATCGCTTGATAACTCAAGGGTTTCAAGGTTTGAAGAAAATATTTAAACATAACTTGGTTTTAGAACTTCAATACTTAAGACCTTAAATTTCCTGGCCTTCCATCCTTCTCACAAATTATCCTTACATAATTGATGTGTAATTGCAATATAATTGAACTCCTCTCTCTCCTTAAACAACAAAAACAAATCAATAAAGTGAAAATTTATTTGAATAACAATAACAATTTAAATACTACAAACTGAAATATAATTGAAATGAAATAAAAATTGATTTTCCATGTTAATTTGTATAATCAATGAGAAAAGTAACAACAATGATTTAATATACATAAATAATATAATGATAACAACAACAAAACCAACAAACATGTCTCTATTCTATTTAAATGAAACACATGAACAAAACTATAACAGAAAAATAAAATTTAAATAATTAAACGGAAAATTCTTGTTATTAATGGGTTTGGAGGGGTTGTGGGGGATGGACTCTACATGAGACATATTTGGAATGCAATAAATGTTTACTATTTCTCATATGTCAATAAAGAAATATATTCAGGCATATTTCGGGACGGCCTAATCTTCATACCTTTTTACCACTTTGGTTGGGGTTATTAATTTTTTTTACTCTTTTTGTTCCTTCCTCTAAAAGTTCCCATTTAATCTTGCGTATTTTCTTAAATAAAAAAATATATTAAAAACATAAGTAAAAATTCTCTATTTTTCTACTTCCAATCTTTGAAGATATGGTCTTATATAAAGACGCATATTTCATATGGTCCCCATGGAATACTGCATATTTTCTGAAATTAAACAAATGTTGGAGAATATTAGTAAAATTACTATATTTCTCCCAACCTTAGAAGGTTCCATTTAGATAAAGGCTGGCCAAAAGAAGAAACAGGTCATAGTCCAAGAAGTCGATTAACTCTCTTTCAAAATTAAGCAGAAGTGGTTCTGGGATGTAACGATTTCACTGGTTTATTTGCTAGAGTTCTGCTGAAGTTCCAAAGCCTCCTTTTTCTTTAAGATTTGAACTATTTTCTTGAATGTTAACACACGGTCAGGAAGAGTAATTTGTGGATGTTTGTTTATAAATATATTTAAGTTAACAAAGTTTCCAGTATCCAAGTAAAAGTGAAGATACCACGCCAAATGCAGTTCTAAAATGGCAAAGGTTTAGTAAAGGCACCATGTCGAAAGTTGGGTTAAATGTCACTCAAAACGACAATAGAAAGGACTAAAAATTGCGTGCCAACGTTGGAGAGAAGATATTTTGGAAATTACAGGAAGTAATTCCATTCTTAGTATGTAAAAATGATTTGGATATTTTGATTGCCACTTTCCTATGAAAAGATGGGCGCTGGTGCCACAAAGATGCCATCCATATCACATCATCTGTGACATTGAACAGTTTTGCTGGACCTCTTTGCTTTTTATTCTCTCTCCAATATCGACATGCACATTATCTATTCTCCTTCTTTATTTATTTGCATGTTATTCGTATATTTCACATATAAGTTTGAAATTGAGCTATGTTCTTGATTTCCCGCCATTTTTAGCGCGTCTTTTACTTGTCCATATCTAATGATTTCGCTTTCATTGTTGAACCGTCTTGTTCGTTTGTTTGTAACGGATTTTTTCTCTTGACTTTCAGTAAATAAGGGACCCTTAGATCTACTTGAGGCTTTCATTTTACAGGGTGACATACTCCAGAAAGCAATGCTTTTCGTTTTTCTGTTATGGCAATACTCTTTGGTCTCGCTTGTACATATGAGTTGCCAACCATATGTTTAGTGGCAATGCTTCTCAACTGTGTATGGATAACAAGACATTGCCATTTGCATTTTCAATGTGGAATTGATTGTTAAATTAGAATAGGAATTTAAACAAATATATGTATTATTCTTTTATAAATGTAAAAAAATGTCCATGTACCTTAAGGTGAGAATATATAAAAAGCTTTTTGACTAGCTTCTTCGTATAGGAACAGGGGAGTTTTATGTTAACTTAGTTCGGTTTTGGCGGTTTTCGTTTGGCTGCTGTACAATTTCTGCAGGAAAGGTAGTTCGACAAACCTAATCTGTGCATTTTTACATATTAAACTATATTTTAGGACAGTAATGTAAACAGTGAAACTGGTTGTGTTGACATGCCATCTTGTAAAAGCTTTTTGGCATTTAGCGCTTAACAAGGTTTTATTTTTTATGTTTACTACCCTTAAGAGCTTAAAGCCTTGTGACAACTGGTTACAATGTAAACATATACTACGACTAGTAAACAATTAAATAGAGCTTTAAAGCATTTTAATTGTATTTGTTGCTTCAGTTTTATTATGACATGTGCAGTGTTGCCATATCGGTATGTTTCACTATAAAATCGACCAACAATTATACAATAAAATAAAGAGGAGCACAAGGTCCAATATTGACATTCTATATTGAAGGGCTCGACTTCTATACAAAGACATTGGTGAGTTCTATTAGCAGACCATTATTTAATAGCAAATGTAACTATGATATTTATATAAATCGCCTTTTAAATCCGCTTACTCATTTGCTGTTAATTATTTTTTAGAAAATTGCTGGTAATTGTAAACTCCCATCCCTTAAGTAGTCCATGTTTTCCAAGTATGTTTTTTCAACCGTTTCTCTACACAAATCACTTCAATAATTCCCTCTAAATCTTTTTATTTAGAATTCTATTTTTTAGAAAATTGCTGGTAATTGCAAACTTCCATCTCTGGACCAATTGTCAGTTGTCATTTCTATAGAATGGCATTAAGGTCTTCCGTCAAGAATAGAATATGGTAAAATCCTTCCGGTATTCTACGAGAATACTTCCGAGCCCTTTAATCGAAAATATTATGTTTTAAGAGATCATGGGAACACATCATAGCTTCCATAAGAAGATGGACAGCTCTTCCATTGCAAGACTTTCAGGGCTTTTATGAAAAGATTTTTGGAAGATATAAGAAGTCCTTCCGATATTTTATCCAAGATTTTTGGTCGGTTCGCAGGTTTTTATCAATTTTCAATCCCCAAATGGCAACTTTCTCTTTACTTCAAAGCTTTCGAATGAACTTTTTATTTGAATTATTACACTTGTTGTTGTTTTGAAGTTTACTACCTTACACACTGAGAGAGTATCCTAGTGTGAAAGAGAGAGTATCCTAGCCAAAACAATCAGCTTCCTTTAGTCGAAAAAATGCCGCCTGTATTTTGATTCAGTTGTAGGCTGGATATTGAACGAAAAAGTTCGTTACGTGTCGTGTTGCCCGGTGATGTGTGCGTGCTTGAAGTGAACGTGCCACAAATAACAACAACAACAGCGACAGCAGCAAAAAACAAAAACAAACAGAAAAGATTTCAAGTAGATGTGATGTGGACGACGACGAAGACTACGGTGATGATGATGATGTCGAGTATACGGCCTGGTAGCTCGCATCGAGTATAATGTGAGGGAAAGTGTGGAAAATGTAAATAAAGCTAGAAAAGAAGCAAGACCATGGCATGGAGCATAAAAATGGAGTCGAAGAATCTCGGTCTTGCAGTGGAAAAGTCAACAATGGTGGTACCATAGACCCGAAAAAACGAAAAGAAGAAGAGTTTCTTTTTGGTGAAAGTGAAAGCATGTGTTCTATATATTGTGTTAATGTTGAAGTGAAAGTGAAAAGTTCCACAGAGCTTGAAAATGTCAACAATTAATGAGGTTAAAAAAACGGAAGGAATAAACAGCCAATGAGTACTAGATATAGGAGATATCAACTCACACACACACACACATAGTTGCATATTTATACAAAGTGCCATGTTTATATTATATGTCTAATTATCTGATAAGTAAGAGTTTAGAGTTTTCACAAAAGGGGAACTTAATTTCCGGTCCCGTATTCGGGAGAGATTGTAGATCTAGAAATTTGGAAAAATGATTTTAATAGAGCTGTCTATTTTTTACTGACACACAGATTGTTTGTTTATTTGTACGTATAGTATGTTGTTATGCATGTATTTGTGTGTAAAATGAAAAAAATACTCACAGCTATGCCGCGTACCGCGTACACACATCACATATTATTGACGCTTATGTCCTTGTGATTTTTTACATTTCCGCTATCCAAACAACCTACCTACCAACCATCCAAGCAACCAACCAACCAGCCACTCACAACATCAACCTATTCATACTCTAGCTATCTTGATGTTGTTGGCTTTTTTGTTGCTGTTGCTGCTGCTGCTGCTATTTTTTATTAATATTGTCTGAGGTTATTTTTGTTATGGTGGCCGTTGTGTTATTCTATTTTTCAATTTGAGGACTATGCTTTCTTTTTTGTTGGTGGTTCTGGATTTTCAGTTTAAAAGAGAAAAAAGAGAAGCTGAAGATGGAGTAGCTTGTAATGGCCACTTGTAAGGCTTTTCTTTTATTAACTCAATATGGAAGACCATCTTAGCAAGACATTTGCAATCGAGTGGATTTAGTTGTCTAAGCGTGCACTTAGTCATTTTTTAAATCAGCTAATTGATAGCAATTGCAAATTCCCTTCTCTGAATCACATGTAAAATTAATACAACTCTGTACTTTACAATACTGGCCGCCGAATTACAGCGATGGTCGAGTTTATAGCTCGCCCACCCAACATATTCATTTACAATCTGTAGATTATTGCAAACTCCCA